TCGCCGTGATAGTGCGGCGCACCTGACATGGGCTCGAATCCGTCGAAGATCAAGTCTCCACGGATGTCGGCAGTGTAGTTTAAGTTTCCGAACCTGACCTGATGGCCAGGGGCGTAGCTCTCGATCTGCTCCAGATGGCCAAGCGAGTTGGCCCGCAGTGTGAAGCCACCGAATACGAAGATCTGTCTAGGGAGGAAAACCTCACCCTGGACCGCATCGTTACCGATGATCGAAGGAGCCATCAAGCCTTATGGTGACAGCACAGTGGAACTCTCAATGAAAGCACCAATGTCAGTGTCAAAACCGGCGGATCTCGGGTAGGGGTTCCCGAACTGTGCGTCTAAGGTGGATGGTAACAGGAGGCGGGGGACACGATGTTTACCCAGGTTCGGGCCCTCTCGATGGAGGTAATACCCTACTTCCTGCTTGATTGATCTTGATGATATGAGTATTACAAGAGTTGATCTACCACGAGATCGTAGAGGGTAAACCCTAGAAGCTAGCCTATGGTATGATTGTTGTTGTCCTACAAACTAAACCCTCCGGTTTATATAGACAACGGAGGGGGCTAGGGTTACATAGAGTCGGTTACAAGGAAGGAGATCTACATATCCGTATTGCCAAGCTTGCCTTCCACGCCAAGGAGGGTCCCATCCGGACACGGGACGAAGTCTTTAATCTTGTATCTTCATCGTCCAACAGTCCGGCCAAAGGATATAGTCCGGCTGTATGGAGACGCCCTAATCCAGGACTCCCTCAGGTGCCCCCTGCCCCGTATATAAAGGAGCTAGGGGGGAGGCGGCCGGCCAGGAGGAGGGCGTGCCAAGGGGGGAGTCCTACTCCCACCGGGAGTAGGACTCCTCCTTTCCTAGTAGGAGTAGGAGAAGGGGAAAGGGAAGGAGAGAGGAGGAAGGAAAGATGGGCTCCGCCCCCCTCCTTCTCCAATTCAGACTAGAGAGGGAGGGGGCGCGCGGCCTGCCCTGGCCGCCCCTCCTCTTCTCCACTAAGGCCCAATAGGGCCATTACATCCCCCAAGGGGTTCCGGTAATCCCCCGGTACTCCGTATATGTATGATACCTCCCGAAGCACTTCCGGTGTCCGAACATAGTCGCCCAATATATCAATCTTTACGTCTCGACCATTTCGAGACTCCTCGTCATGTCCGTGATCATATCCGGGACTCTGAACCACCTTAGGTACATCAAAACACATAAACTCATAATACCGATCATCACAGAACTTTAAGTGTGTAGACCCTGCGGGTTCGAGAACTATGTAGACATGACCGAGACACGTTTCTGGTCAATAACCAATAGCAGAACCTGGATGTTCATATTGGTTCCTACATATTCTGCAAAGATCTTTATCGGTCAAACCGAATAACAACATACGTTGTTCCCTTTGTCGTCGGTATGTTACTTGCCTAAGATTCAATCATCGGTATCTCAATACCTAGCTCAATATCGTTACCGGCAAGTCTCTTTACTCATTCCGTAGTGCATCATCCCGTAACTAACTCATTAGTCACATTGCTTGCAAGGCTTATAGTGATGTGCATTACTGAGAGGGACCAGAGATACCTCTCCGACAATCGGAGTGACAAATCCTATTCTTGATCTATGCCAACTCAACAAGTACCATCGGAGACACCTGTAGAGCACCTTTATAATCACCCAGTTACGTTGTGATGTTTGGTAGCACACAAAGTGTTCCTCCAGTAATCGGGAGTTACATAATCTCATAGTCATAGGAACATGTATAAGTCATGAAGAAAGCAATAGCAGTAAACTAAAACGATCAAGTGCTAAGCTAAAAAATGGGTCAAGTCAATCACATCATTCTACTAATGATGTGATCCCATTAATCAAATGACAACTCATGTTTATGGCTAGGAAACTCAACCATCTTTGATCAACGAGCTAGTCAAGTAGAGGCATACTAGTGACACTATGTTTGTCTATGTATTCACACATGTATTATGTTTCCGGTTAATACAATTCTAGCATGAATAATAAACATTTATCATGATATGAGGAAATAAACAATAACTTTATTATTGCCTCTAGGGCATATTTCCTTCACTTGGTCCCTAGTAAGGTTGTCAGGGAGTCCATCAGCCCAGACAGAACTTGAGCTGAGGGCTGGACTAAGTTGGACGTAGAAGGGTTAGTTGTTGCCGTAGCTCCAGCCGTGGTGGTGTTGAGAGCCAGTGACGTCCCTGGCGGCTCGGCGTGGTGGGTTGTAGGGCTCCGGAATAGTGTTGCCATCGGAGCAGCCCCAAGCCCACCATCATGAAGTTGGTAGATTGACTCCGTCTCCCCGATTGAGGACTCACCATATTAATAAACGAGAGTCTCTCCTCCAGACGCGGAGTTTTCCGCAAGTTCCACACTTTGCGTGAAGCCCATGAAAACGTGTTTCCGACCAGCTTGGATCCGGGCGGGTTGCATGCACCGAGACGGCTCAACGAGGTCGGTACAGATGTCCGGCTCAGGCTCATATCCGCCTATCTTGCCGATGAAGACGTGGATTCCGCCGAAGGGGACCCAGTACCCATACTCAATTGAGTCAGCCTCGGGGCCCCAGCTGGCATCATCAATGTAGAGCTTGCCGCGGCGACTCTTAGTCATCCTACCGACGGCGTATCCCTCGATCCCTAGGAAAGAGCCCTTCAAGAACATGAAACTACCATGAGCTGGCCCCATGGTGGGCGCCAACTGTCGTGGTTTTGTCACGGTAGATGTCCTAGTGTGAGGACTTAGTCATGAGGCCATCGCAACCGGGTGATTAGCTTGTCGGGGTTGAGAGGAATCGAGAGACACGAGTTACCCAGGTTCGGCCCCTCACGATCGAGGTAATAGCCTACTTCCTGCTTGTTTGCTTATTGCTTGGGGATCAATTACAAGGGAGTAGATTCGCTTGACCTAGCTATTGATCGATTGTAACTTAGTCCTATCATGCCCCTGTGACTCGCCTTTATATACAGGTCAAGACCCAGGGCTTACAAGAGTCTGGAGACTTGGACTTCGGTGCCATGAGCCGTTGTCTTTGGATGCTAGGCCCTAAGCCGGCCCACTCTGTGAGACGCCCCAACTGGTCTTGCTCCGGGGCGCCTCGGCTCATCTTGAGTCTTGCTCCTCAGCCGCCACCTAGATGACTTGGCCCAATCATGGAGGGTTATATCATGGGGTGATATCCCCAACAGAGATGAAGGGTTTAACTAAAAGACTCCTATCCAGAACATTGTGACAATGTTAACTGTCTATTGCGTAATTTTGTAGCTGCACAAAGCAAACTTCCAACACTTGACTTCGAATCTTTCACTTGCCTATCTGAGGATGAACAACTTCTTCTGGTCCGTGAATCTGGAATAGAGGCCGTATTTCGGGCTGCCAATTTTGTTCTCATGCTTTCATCATTTGCTGGTATGTAGTATCTTATGATAGTTTCTTTGTCTAGCATTGCCATGAAATTTACTATTGTTTACTAATGTGTGTTTGCATATATTAATTTGTAGATGGCAAGCCTCTGTAGAGGTGTTCTGGCATTTTATTTGAATGGAATGATCATCTTAAAATTGGCGTTGTGTTAACGATGACACATCTAATCCGCTCAAATTGCCCATCCATCGACCAGTGGTTAGGAAAGGACGGGTACCGTCGTGATGCTAAGGTGCATTTCTAACATCTATCGTGCAGAAGGTCGTGATCTTGGTTTTTCCTTTTCTAAGATTATCTAAAATACTTTTTACAATGATTGTTTTAGCTAGTTGATCATTTCTTAGATGATACCATTGCAAAGGGTGACCTCTTGTACCATCAAGAAACACTATGATATTGCCTTTTTTCAAAGTTAAAGTTGGTCAATGCCCCTAGCTGCCTTTGTTTGTTGACAATGTGAAATTCGGTAAAGAAATTTTCTAGCTTGGGAGACGTTCTGGTGAGAGCATCTCGTCTCGTGATTGTTGAGAATGTCATAATATTTAATACTTTATGTATTTTGAAGTTATTATTTTTGTGGTGGATGGCTATTGTGCAGTGACCAAATTTGAAGTTATTATTTTGGTGGTGAACTATCCCTCGAGATTTCTTTTTGTTGGGCTCGAATGTTGCTAGAGACATATCATTACTTATCTGTTGACAACAGAGTCGGTCAAACAAATATTGCTCCTCAACGTGAATAAAATAAATATCACTATTTGTACCAAACTATAATAGTGGTTTATAATTTATTTTTCCAACTTACACTCATACCTAATTATTATGGTACATTTTAACATTATTTTGTAATTAAATTAAATTTCTATAAATATGCCTGAAAATATATCTATATAATTTTGACTTAAAAAGATTATAAATAAGAAATGAGAAAATTTCATGTCTTTCTTGGATTATTTTTTAATCTTGTATTAATGTGGCATATATGTATGTGTGTGTCGTTAACTATCTTAACAAATATATTAAAGCGTGTGGTATACAAATATACCTTGAGAGTGATCTTTATGAAGATGCATACAAATAGAAAAATCTGGAGTACACGAGATGTTTATGAGAAGTTTCGTACCTAATAATTGACACTCTTCTTTATTCATATTTTTTGTCAAATGTGTGTAGTATATTACGTGGGCTCAATAAGTGTTAATGATGTGTATATGATATGTACTTGGTGCTAAATAATATCACTCTGGGTAAGACAACCTTTAGTACAACTTGTAAAGCGTTCACAAAAAAGAGGCTTTATGGCTTGAACTTGTGGGTCTTCTATTTATTTTTACATATTCAATATTTTTTATATTTTTAGTAAGCTCTTGGAACGTTAAGCCTCTCGAATGTTTCAGCTCCCACGACGCCTCTCCGCCTCCTGTGTCCGAGTGTAGTAGGTGAGGCCGACTGGTGGGAAAATGTTCGAGTGGCTGGACCGTATCCGAGTGGATATCCCGGGGTGCGTATCCGAATGCGCGTGTGGTTCGGAGACCTTCCAATGATGGTGTCGGGCCCTAGATGGGCCTTAGATGTCAGGTCCATGGCCCTACCCTTTATAGATCTCTTTATCTGTTTTTATTTGGCAGAAAGAAGAGGGGGAGGAGCCGACGGGGCGAATGGTCCATGCTACCAAGAGGCCGAAGGTCAACCTGGTGCAAACTAAGAGCATCAGTACTCTCAAGGATGAAATAGTTGTACCCAGAGGTACTCTCGTGACTTGCATTGCAGGTATAAATCTGCAGCCTGAAGATGTTGGCGCTGCTATTCAATTTCTGGAGTTCTGCCGCTCATTTGGCGAGGTAATTATGGAAAGCAAATATTATGTTTTATTTATCATTTCATGTTGCATTGAACCATTAATGCATCCACTCATTTCTAAATCTGGTTTATGCTAACTAGTTATGGTTAGTTAAGTTGCCTGAGAATGTTGCCGAGCTAAACAATTATGTTGTTCTCTTATTACTTCTGTCTTGTTAACACAAAATAAGTCATCAACTTGAGGCGCATATTTTTTATGATTTCTAAATATATAATCTAAAGAAAGTTTATTTGCATTTTATTTTATAATCTGGCACCAAACTTGTTATAAGTTTCCATAAATGAAAATGTTTAACTGCTCTTAGCTGCCTGCTTGCTTTAAGAGACCTTTTCTTCTGTATTATAATAAACAGAATAATGCACCACATGATTTAAGCAAATCTGCAAAATAGGGAAGGGGCTACCAGAAGAAATTCTCAAAGACTTAACTCAACTCGAAGAGGTGTCTTCAGTTGTTGCAGACGTTCACATAAATCTTCTGTCTATCATAGAAAATGGCAAATATAAGTAAGCATACTCACAAACTTCTATGCCCTTGTAGTTTTGCCCATGTAGTTAATAAATGAGTAAATGATGTTATCTTTTTTTTAGCCCTTTTAATAAGTATCCAAGACAAGGAGATGAGTGGATAAGAAAAGTTTGGATAAGAAAAGTAGGAATACATCACTTTGGCGTTACATGCAGAAGATTTCACCCTTCACAGCTTAAATCAAGGGGTATCGGGTTATAAAAAATTGAACCATTCTTGTAAGCTGGAGTGTTGAGTATCGTAATTATTAGGAAAGCTAGGATAACGTAGAATATTATTCTACCTTGCCTTGTACTCGAAGATGATCATGTACTCCTATATATATATGTCCATGAGGTTCAAACAATACAACGACAATTCCACCAGAACCATTTCTCCCTTCTAACATGGTATCTATCGCAAGTCGATCCTAAACCCTAGCCGCCGCTGCTTCCGCACCCGCGCGCCGCCCCCGGGACGGTCGGCCTCCATGACCACCGCCGGGGCCGCGCCACCCGTACCTAGGGTTCGGCCGTCGGCCGTGTTGGCCGTCTGCCCTAGAGAGTCTTTTTCCCCGATCCTTTGATCCGGGTTTTCTCTCTCTCGCCGGTCACTTTGATCGGCGTCTCTTTTTTGGTTTTTCGGTCTATGTGATCCGGTTTGCGTCGCCCATCGCCGCCGTCGATCCCGTGCGCCTCTACTCCAACACCGGCGCGATCGGCCGGCTTCTTCACCGACCCGACAGCCTCGCGCGTCGTCCGCGCGTCTTCCCGTCGGTCGCCCCGACCCGGCGGCCTCACTCGGCATCCTTGCGTCGGCCCGCCGGTCGCCCCGACCCGGCGGCCTCGCGTCATGCAGCGGCTCTACACCGCTGCCCTTCGTGCGACGGCTCGCCCGTCGATCTACGCCGGCCGTCACCGCTCTGCTTCAACCGGGACACCTGCTTCACCCCGACCTGGCGGCCTCGCGCCATGTGGCGGCCAATCATAGCTGCCCTGCCACCCGCCGCCGTTGGCTTCATCTTGGACTCCGCCGCCACCGCGCCTCCACCGAGCGGCGTCTCCAACCTCGCGCGCGATCGGATTGATAACCCGCCCGCCGCCGCGATCCGCCTCATCTACGCCGTGCGACCGACCTGGCCCGTCGGTTGCGCGCGCCTCCGCAGGCCCCGTGAAGACCGTCCCGAGTTCAGCGCGCCCCTCTACCGATCGAGCAATGGGCTGCCGCTGCGTCACCCCGTCGGGCCGCAGCGCCGCCGCCCCATGGTTCTTCTCCCAGCTGCACCGACCCGCGTCACCGCTGCGTCGCCCCTTCGGGCCGTAGTACCACGGCCCGTAGTCCACCGCCGCCCAGAGACCGTCCGCTCCAGGTCGTCCCCATGGCAGCACCGACCCTCGCGCCGTCACTGCGTCGCCCCGTCGGGCCGTAGCGAGCATGGCACGCGGTCCACGCCGGTGTCCCCGGGCTTGGCAAACCCGCCGCGACGCGTCGTCAACAACGTCTTCTTCCCGGCGCACCACTACTTCGACACCACTGCGTCCATGCTAACTCGGCGCGCTCTTGCGCCCGCGGCTCCACGGCGACATCCTCGACACCGGCTCCCCGACTCGACATCGACCACGACATTCTACGCGTGGCTACCTCGACCACGGCTACACCACCCTCGACTCTCGGCTACATCGACAAACGGCACAAAGGGCTACCACCTGCTTGAGCAACCTCGTTGGTTTCCACTCCAGCCACGACTCCGCGATGAGTCGACCGTTACGACTGTGGGGGGGTGTCCGTCGGCTTGCCTTCGGATTCTTCTCCAGTCTCACCGTCTGCGTCGCTACCGTTGTGACTGCGGGGGGATGTTGAGTATCGTGATTATTAGGAAAGCTAGGATTGCGTAGGATATTATTCTACCTTGCCTTGTACTCCAAGATGATCATGTACTCCTATATATATGCCCATGAGGCTCAAGCAATACAACGACAATTCCACCAAAACCCTTTCTCCCTTCCAACATGGAGGTTCTGAATTGTCTGTGTGATGAGGCATTGTCTTCTGGGTAAGTACATGCTACCATATTTTCTGGAATACTTCACTCCACTACTGTCATACTCCCTCTGTTCCTAAATATTTGTCCTTTTAGAGATTTCAAATGGACTACCACATACGGATGTATATAGACATATTTTAGAATGTAGATTCACTCATTTTGCTCCGTATATAGTCACTTGTTGAAATTTTTAGAAAGACAAATATTTAGAAACGGAGGGAGTATTAATTATCTTGTAACTTCATTCAGAAAGTTGAGGACCTATATTGACATTGAAGAAAAAAAATGTGTGACCAAACAAAAAATCAAAGCTGCAACCAGAAAGGTAATTATCTTGGGAAGTTCTTTTTTGTGGTCAAATCACTTGGTTGACCTTAATGATCATCGTTTTGTGTCTTGTTTCATAGCAAAAGGAGCTGAAAAGAAGACATAATGACATGACTAAATAAATTGAAGGAGGAGATATTGCTAACAATGAGGAAGCTAATGATATCCTTTCTCAAATAAAGGAAGCAGAAGAAGTCAAGCAGGCAGCCCGGAATGGTCTGTAGCAGTATGGCTTGATTTATCTTCATTTCCTACATTTAATTTGTTTAGCTTTGTTCATTTGTTCTGTTCTTAGTCTGTTTGATATCTTGCACTTTTGTTTATTATATTATTTCACATCTACACCATCCTGCATCATTTAATATGTATATATTTTTTCTAGAAAATATCTTTGTAATATAAGTACTTTACTAGGTTTTATTATTCCGTCTCCCTATAGTCCACAAAAACATTTTTTTTGCATACTTTTTGTCAAACTTTTAAAACTTTAACCACCAATATCTTCTAGAATATTTTGACTGAGTGAGTGAAAGATCATACCAAAATGGATACTAATATTTTATTTAGTATTTTGGAGATTGTGCTAATGTTTAATAAAAACATTGTCTTCTTAAAGACCGGAGGGAGCAGTAGAAGAAAATGGTCAACATAAAGACTGGTCGGAGTATCTAACTTTCACAAACATCAAATTTTCTGCTAACATCCATGAATGTGTACTGACTGTGGGTTAACGAATGGATAAATTCAATTATTTATTATATAAACATATTGTTGGAGTAGTCCAATCCAATTTTTTCATGCATGTGGACATTCTTTTGAAACCCTGGACAGTGGAACAATCGATCTACGATAATTTTCATTAATAGAAACAGTGATGTTACAAATATGAATGAAAGAAAACTACAAAAGGCCTATGGATAAAAGAGAGAGTCGTCCAATTCCAGCTCTATGTATCATGATCATTGTACTAGAAGTTTAGCAAGGACCACTCCTGGAAACAAACAGCATGTTTGTCCCTGATTTTAAATTTAAGTAGAATCATCTTTAAGGGCATATCTCCAATTCTGAAAGGTTGGACTGGATTTTCTGAATATCTTCCCATTTCTCTGAAGCCAGATGTTCCAGCCCCAATATAACAATCTCCATACAAATATCATTTGGTAGATCCTCAAGAGCCAACAATGTATCTTCATAGACAGAAGTACCAGCAACTTTGAGCAAAATTGCAATCCCAAAACAGATACATAAGTGTTTCTTCACAATGATGATTACATATATGACAAGAGTGATCAGTCATCATGAAACCTTTTCATTCCAGCAAGGATCTTGTGTTAATTCTACTCCATCTGTTCCTAAATATATGTCTTTTAAGAGAATTTCAATATTAACTACATACGGATGTATATAGATGTATTCTAGAGTACAGATTTACTCATTTTGCTTCGTATGTAGTACATATTGAAATCTCTAAAAAGTCCTATATTTAGGAACGGAGGGAGTATTCTGCATGGCTAATGAGAAGAAAATCTTATGCTTGAATCTACTAGAAATCTTCCAGATTAACTTGAAAACTTTTGGAGCCTCAAAAACTCCCATCAGGTGTTTATACATTTTTTTAAAGGAGAATTTGGCAGCAATTCTATTGCGGTGCCATCTGTCCTTACTATTCTGATCAGCCACTGGGATTATACTTGGGACTTGAAAAAATTGATTATAGGCTGGATTAGACAAAGGCATATGAAAATTATCAGGCCAATCACTTCTTGCACTAAAATTTGGCAAAGATTCTTTTTCATTTCTAGCAAAAGAATGCAACTCAGGGAATTTCTAAAGCAACGACAAGTTAGGCCATTTATACTGCCAGAAAAGACTTGTGTCCACTTGTCCCACAGACCATGAGGCAAAATATCTTCAAGAGGGCAGGAGCAATGCATGTGGACATAACCATCCAAGAGAAGATAACCATGTTTTTTTTCTTTCCGAGTGAATAGGTGTAGAGTCTTTTCAGCCTTAGGCTTATATTATAGTCACATATCTAACCATGTAGTTAGGATTTAATGTTTAACCTTTTTCTTGGATTAGCACAGAGACATGAAAGGATATACTAATGAAATAATTAGTATATGTAAGGCTTAATATATTCTAGGTTATTTTGCACTAATTAATACGTATAAATTAATTTAAGAGGGGAACTGATACGGATACGACAATAGTGTTTATGGATATGGATAGTGATACTACAAAAGGAAGAATATGGTACTATGCAGATACCTTAATTTAATTCATATGTGCTCCATGATGTTGTAACAATTGGATGGAACTTTTTTTTAACTCATGATAAATGCAACTTGACTATCCTTTTAGAGTCAAGTAAATCAAGATTGCTATCTGTTGGCTAACTTGTTTCCACTATAGTTCTTTGTGTTCCCCTTTTCTGGCACATCTTTTTAGACAAAAAGCTCTAGATGAACCCGACTTTGATTTAACGAGGCCATCAACCAGTCAGGAAATACAACAGACCTTGGCAACACAATGGCTGGACCGATACAATGGGGTTTACTGGAGAGCAAACACAACTACAACCATTACAGTCAAGCACCTATCAAAAGGAACAGGAGAGAGCACACCTAGC